AGCTGTCAAGTGGCGTTTAAGTGTGAGAATTAACAGCATGTGCACAAAGTTTAGTCGGGCAACAACAACAACCAAAACAACAGCAAAACAATAAACATCCACAACAACAACAACAAAGAACAATAAACGACAACAAACAACAACAACATCCGGCTGTAGGTTGGCTTTAGGATTTAGGGTTCCAGGCTGTGGGTTGGCTTTTAATATAAAGAGGCGTGAAGCTAAGTTGTAGGTAGAACGCTGAACGAGAATGAAAGGGACTTTGTATTTTCTTAATGTTATGGGATTCTAAGGGTGGGTGGGTGTTATATCGAAACCGTGAATACAACTCTACTATAAAACTGCTCGATCCGGAGCTGCTGAACCCTAAACCCTAAACCCTAAACCCTAAACCCCCCAACCCTAACTCCAAGACCAGACCCCCTAGACCCTACTATAGGGGGCCTTAGTAATTAGAGCTGGGTTTTGGGGTATATCAGGGCTCCTTTGAATGGGGCCTATAAGGGCTTCTATAAGGTTTAGCATTTAGGGGCCTTGATAATTAGAATAGAGTGTTGGAGTAGATTACGCTGTAATCATAGGCCTTCGTAACTAGAATAGGGTTTTGGGGTGACTCGGACCAAAGTCTGCAGCGAACGAAGCTTAAGATGACTTGTGCATCCGTAGAATGTAAAGCTGCAGTTGAGCTACATAACTAAGAAGAATAGGGTTTTTGGGGTATATTATGCAAGGAACTCCCCCTCCAAAATAGTATTGGTGATTACATTAGGCCCCTAGACTCATCCCGAAACCCTCACCCTGAAGCCATTTGGGGTATATTCTGCAAGGACCCCCCCCAAAAAAAATAGTATCGGCAATTATATCAGGCCCCTATACCCTAAACCCTATACCCTAAACCCTAAACCCTAAACCCTAAACCCTAAACCCTAAACCCTAAACCCTAAACCCTAAACCATACTCATCCCGAAAGCCAAGAGCGCGAATCCCGTGCACCTGTGCCTGGCTGGAGAACAACTCCGCTGGGCTGCCGGCTGCGAGACCAAAAGTGCCATCGTGCCGGTTTAGGGTTTAGGGTTTAGGGTTTAGGGTTTATTTTGGGCTCCTTATAATAACGATCCTACTTTTTAGGGTGCTATAATAGGGTCCCCTATTTGCGGAAACCCCTATATAGGAAGCCAGGAATGAGGGAGTTAGGTAGTATTATTAGGGGTACCCCTTAAAGGGTACCCCTTCTTAACCCTACTTGTGGCTCTCTTAAAAGGGACCTTATTGAGAGGGTCTATATCAAGGGTCCCCCTAATCCTAACTCCCAGATTCATGAGGGAATTCCAGAAACAAGGGACCCAAATGCAGTTTAAACGATAAGCCCCCAAAAGAAACACTAAACCCTACACCCAAATACGGTTTAAAGGATAAGCCCCCAAAACACAAAGATGCTCGTCATAAGCATGCCTGGAAAGGGGCCGCGTGAGTTTGCGGGAACTCCCGTGCTCTTCGCATGTCAGTCGAGTTGCTCCTGGTTTGCGCCGCGTCCTCTCGGAATCAGTATCCAGGAACTGCTCATGAACAGAACTCAGCAGAATACCATGAGATTTGTGATTTTGAAACTGGCATGACATCTTGCATCAGACAGCTTTGCCAGCAAGTCATGTCCATGCAAGAGATACAACTAATTCAGGGCGGCGCCTAGGCTTGATCGCATGCACATCCCTCGGAGAGGGCCGGAGAAGCGAGATGCAGACAGAGTCAGAGAGTGGAGAGGGAGCGGGGTGACCCCGTTTCTTTCGTCCCACAGAAAGCAAAAGAGAAAACAAGAGAGAGAGAGAGAGAGAGCGAGAGAGTCGAGGAGGAGGGATAGCGAGATTTGGGGGCTTCCGAAAATAAGGGGTACCTTATTTTGGGGTCCTTATATTAAGGATCCTACTATTTAGGGTACTATATTAGGGTCCCCTATTTTCGGAAACCCCCATTTAGGTTCTTTCCAACTTGCTCCGTTTCTTCAGGTCCTGTGCATGGCAGCTTCGCCGCCTGCGCAGATTGTGTCAGGAGGCATGCCCAAAAGGGACGTGGCCGTGAGTTCGGTGCTACCGTCACCTTGTGTAAGCATCAGTGTAGGGAGTCACAATGGGGGGTGCAGATTAGGGCATGGGGCCGACAAGAAAAAACGACAAAGATTGTTAATTTCATTTCGCTCTCGCTCTCACTCTCTCACTCTCTCTCGGTATGCTCTCCTTCGCAGCATCTCTCCGTCTCGCTCTCTCTCTCTCTCTCCCGCTCTCGCTCTCGCGCTCTCTCTGGCTCTCGTTCTCCTCTCTCGCGCTCGCTCTCGCTCTCACTGTCTCTCTGTCTGTCTCTCTGTCTGTCTCTCTCTCTGTCTCTCTCTGTCTCTCTCTGTCTCTCTCTGTCTCTCTCTGTGTCTCGCTATCTCTCTCTCTGTCTCTCTGTGTCTCTTTCTGTCACTCTCTGTCTCTCTCTGGCTCTCTCTGTCTCTCTCTGTCTCTCTGTGTCTCTTTCTGTCTCTCTCTGTCTCTCTCTGGCTCTCTCTGTCTCTCTCTGTCTCTGTGTGTGTGTCTCTCTCTCTCTCTGTCTCTCTCTGTGTCTCTCTCTCTCTCTGTCTCTCTGTGTCTCTTTCCGTGTCTCTCTGTCTCTCTCTGTCTCTCTCTCTCTCTCTCTGTCTTTCTCTCTCTCTCTGTCTTTCTCTCTCTCTCTCTCTCTCTCGCTCTCTCTCTGTGTCTCTCTATGTCTCTTTCTGTCTGGCTCCTTCTCTTCTCTCTGTCTCTCTTTTTCTTGATCTACATACGGGTATGTATGTGTTTCCATACATGCATTGGTATATGTGTGTACGTAAATGCACGAAGGATAATTAGTGTCAGGGAAGAAAAGCGCAACTAACTCAAGCATCGCAACATACCCGGCCCTATGGATATGTGCATTTGGTTTACGTAGGCAGACACACGAACTACCCAAGAACACCTTCGTACCCTGAGCTGGCCAAAGACAGGGATGAACAGAAGTATAAATACGTGAGTGCATATGTACTATCTATGCATTTATGCAACACGAAGACCAAATGGACACTTGATATACAGGCATCCAAGCGACCTTAGCAGATGGGTACATATGGATGTAGGTGTGTGTCTCTCTCTCTCTCTCTGTGTTTTGTGCGTGTGTTTGTGTGTGTGTGTGTGTGTGCCTGTATGTGTGTATGTATGTGTATTTATGTATATTTACGTGTATTTACGTATGCGTGTGTGAGTCTGTATGTATGTATGTATGTATGTATGTATGTACGTATGTATGTACGCATGTATGTATCTATGCATGCCTGCCTACGTGCATGCATGAATGCATCCATATGACCCCCCCCCCCCCAATGCTGAGATGAATCGTAACAACAATCGCGTACTAAACCCCAAACCCTAAAATCTGAACCCTAAACCCTAAGCCCGAAAAAACCCCTAAACCCTGAACCTCAAACCTTCTCTGGGCTTACATGGGCCAAGCCGGAGAGTTTGTATCCGAGCTGGATTTTGAATGTCCAGCTGAGTATCATTTTTGTGCATTTTTATGGGTACAGAAACTCAACCAGGAATAGGAATATTTAGTTTTAAATACCATCCCAACCATGAACTAGAGACTTTCTTGTTGCACCCAGGATCCATAAGGGATCGAGGGTTTAGGGGTTTAAGGGTTCCCTTAAAGGAGCCCTAGTAAGCTTTGGCAGGCTCCCGCGCTGGCTTCTGCGCATGGATGGAGGACCTGACTTCATGCGAAAAGCTTGCAAAGGTTTCGGGTTTGGGGTTTAGGGTCAGGGTTCAAATGCTTCGGTGCACGAGGATCGCCCGTTTTTGGGCTTAGGGCTTAGGGTTAGGGGTGTAATGTAGGAGCCTTAAGAATTTCAATTTTTTTGTTAGGGTTCCTGATTATAACTATACTCTAAAGGACCACAAAACCCTGTTCTAACTATTAAGGCCCCTACATTGGGGTTGCGTGTTCTGGCGAAAGGAGATCTCTTCCGAAGCTCATCAGGCTACAGAGCTCGACTAGATATGCCCGTGACTGAGCCCACATGGAGGATCGGAGGACTTAGTAATTTAGAAAGTCAAGTACCCTAACTGGGGCTATTATAAGTAATTTTGAGTACAGCTATCTTATGCACAATGCTAGTTACTAAGTCCCATGATCCTAGAAGTAGACACTTCGAAGGCGTGGAACCAACTACCAGTGCTCCTGTTTCAGGTCCGTGGCTCTTCCTCCCTGTCCGAAGCGGAGTTGGTACCCGGCGACGGCCGCAGCCAGGCATGCCATCAATGATTGAGGAGCTAGTCCCTGAACCCTAAACCCTAAACCCTAAACCCTAAACCCTCATGGCTTGCCAGGCAGACCCCCGAATCTATCGCCCCATGACTGAGACTGCAGAGAGCTGAGACTGGGACATGTGGGGTTTAGGGTTTAGGGTTTAGGGTTTAGGGTTGAGCTTCCTTGCACGGCATTCGGCTCTGAAATTGCTTGGAGAAGCCACTTGAGGTCCGGACCTATCTAAACCCGGCCCACTTCTTCATGCTTCTGCGCGTCGTGAACTTGATAATCGAGCAGTTTTACTGGCAGACCATGCCCTTCCTAGACTTGACAACTGGAGCAACAATACTTGTAAGGCTCATGGCACGTCCTTCTTTGCGGGTGTGCCGGACTCTCTGTTGAAGGACCGCGGCTGTCTGAAGCTGCTTTAGGGTTTAGGGTTTAGGGTTTAGGGTTTAGGGTTTAGGGTGTCATAGCATTGCGTCTATGAGCTTTGGAGCAGGATGTATGTGCCTACATCACAGACAACGTCCCCGGAAGTCAGCACGTGGACTTCTCGGCAAGTGCTCAAGCCTGTGATGGTAGTGGAGAGAAAATCAGCTCTCAATATCATCAATAGTTAATACTATTCTTCTTCTTGTTAGTATTGTTAGTCTTCTACTTATTGGTCTTCTCTTCTTATGCTTCCTTTTTCTTATTCCTATTATTAGTCTTCTTCTTAGTCTTCCTCCTATTATGCTCCTTCTTCTGCTTCTTCTTCTTGTTCTTCTTATTCTTATTTGCGCTGCCGTGGTTTGGCCCGGCTCGAGTGGTGAGAGCGGTTTCACTACTACCTGGTGGCTGAAGAGAAAGATGTCTTACGAAGCTGGGCTCTTGTTACAGAGCTGAGGGTTTGGGGTTCAGGGTTTAGGGTTTCGGGTTCCATACTGCCGATCTACTGTCAGTTAAATCGGGTTTCCTGACTATGAGAACTTGGGTAGCTCTCTAAAACTAGGGTCCCTTTTTAGGTCCCCAATCTAGTACGGCACCCTTATAAAAAGGACCGCAAAAAGGAACCCCAATTTAGAGAACTAGCCACTTATAATATTAGGTACTTAAATTAGGTTCCCCTAAACCCTAAACCCTAAATCCTAAACCCTAAACCCTAAACCCTAAACCCCCCACAAGAGCCCAGGAAGAGGCCTCCTCCGACGCTCAGTCCAGCGAAGGATCCGACAGCGTCGCCGAGAATGCTCGGTCCATCAGAAAGTTCCTCGGTTCCCGTGTGGTTCCTCTAATTAGAGGTGCCGAATATAGGGGCCTTAATAATTCGAATAGGGCTTTGGGGTAGATTTATGCGATAGCTATAATAAGGAACCCCCCCCAAAATAGTATTGGTATTTTTACTTAGGCCCCTAAACCCTAAACCCTAAACCCTAAACCCAAACCCTAACGCCCCTATATTCTTCATGAGTACGTTTAGGTGACCCAGAACTCAGGTTCCCCATTGCCATGATCTTGCTGGTGTAGCTTTGCGAGAGGCTGACATACCCTAAACCCTAAACCCTAAATCCTAAACCCTACCCTAAACCCTAAAGCCTAAAGCCTACCGAACCCTAAACCCTAAACCCTAGAGGCTGACCTACTACACGCTGGCAGGGACCCAGAAAGTCTACATGCAAAACCAGCTGCACAAGCTGCCCTCGACAGCAGCAGCCTTGAACTCGGTCTTCAGCATGCTCTGCTACTTCTGGTGTATCCCAGGTGGCCTGGCTTAGGGTTTAGGGTTTAGGGTTTAGGGTTTAGGGTTTAGGGTTTAGGGTTTTGGGCCAGGTGGGTGTATCCCAGGTGGGTAGTTGTCAAAATTAGGATCCCTTTTTGGGTCCTTATTATGATACGGCACCTAATATTTAGGGTACCCCAAAAAGGGACCGTAATTTTGACAACCACCCAGGTGGCCTGGTCGCAGACTCTATCGGTCGTTACAAGACCATCATCGGGGCAGGTGCCATCTATGCCATCGGCACGCTTTGTGTGGCTGTTGCAGTAGTTCACGCCTTCCAGACCTCGCTTGGGTGGATGTTTACCGGTGGATGCCTCCTGCTCATCGCAGCTGGCACGGGTGGCATCAAGCCGAACATTGCAAACTTCGGTGCTGACCAGATTGGTGATGAAACTGAGAGCCAGCGTGAATGCCAAAAGACTTACTTCTCTCTGTTCTACCTGGCCATCAACATCGGGGTTCTGTTTGCCTTTGGATTCTTCACGAACATCACCACTGGCGGGCTCCCTGGTGTGGTGTCCCAAAGTGAGGGCTACTCTTTTGCGTATGGTGCCGGTGCTGTCTTCATGATAGCAGCGGTGTTGATCTTCATCTCCTTCACTCCATCTTACCGGCGGCTGCCTGGAAGTGGTCTTGGGCCTGTCAAGCGTTTGGTCCGCTATCAGTGCCGCTCTCTGCGCGGCGGCGGTTGGCGAGCTGTGATGTCTGCCATCGGTTGGCTCTGCTTGCCCTTCTTCTATGCAGTCACCCTTGCAGCCGTGTTGACTCCCCCGGCGAAATCTGCCGGCGAGGAGATCTTGCTGGATCCATGCTCTTCTGCGGGTGCCCGCAGGCTTCATGGAGGGGCGGCCTCCAGCAGCGACACCCTCAACAACACAGCGCTGGCTCTTGGCAGCCTTGCCTGCGTCTGCCTGGTCGCCCGGTCCTCAGAAAAGCTTCGACCGCAATATGCATTGCCCGTGTTTGCATGCTTTGCCTCATGTTCATGATCGCTCAATTGTCATATTTGAGGTCGCGAACCTAAACACCCAGTGGGTGAAGGAATTGAGTGACGAAGCGAAGGACGACTTCGGCGTGGAAGATGCTCGCGCGACCTTTGGGGCGCTTCCCATGATTGTCATTGTGAATATTGCTTTCAACCTGTGCTACAACTCTATGAACAACTTCCCTTCCCAGGCTTGTCAAATGGACCTCAGAATCGGGTCGATGCAGCTGAACGGGGCCTTCTTCATCATTGCGGATGCATTTGCAATTTTGGTTTTTACCCCGCTTTTCGAGTCCTGTCTCTACCCTGTGATTGCTCGGATGAAAGGATCACCTGTACGACTGGGCCAAAAGATCATTGCCGGTCTTTTGGTGGCCTGTTCTTCCAATCTCGTCGCAGCCTCCTTGGAGATTCGCAGGCGTGATGCACCCTACCTGTGTGATGCCGAGTTCTCCCAGTGTGCTCCCGGATACACTGAAGATGGGTTGCATGGAACGCGGATGAAGGACATCAGCGCTTTCTGGATCTTCATGCCCTTCACTTTGGTCGGAATTGCAGAAATCCTGGTGAACCCCTGCATGTACTGCTACTCCTATGAGGCAGCACCTATGCAAGTTCGTTCTCTGCTCCAGGCAGTCAACTTGTTCTTCCAAGGATCCGTCTCCAACGCATTTACCTCTGTGGTTACAAAGCCCCTGGGCTCTTGATACAGGTTTTGGCTTACAACAGACACCAGGAGGATCCAAAAAATAGATCCCTAAAAGGGGGTTCCTATAAAGTACCCTTAGTAGTTAGGGTGCCAAGTTAGGGGATCTACTTTTTGGATCCTCCCGGTGGTCTGGGTAAGTCACCATAATGCCGATCTATCGTCAACAATGGGGTTTCCTGGTTATGTTAGCTTAATACGGTTGGTGGACAAAATCCTGCATGACCCTATATACCTAAACTATGGGATTTATGGTACTATACTATATTTGGGTCATGCAGAATTTTGTCCATCAACAGTAGCTCAAGTTAAGTTCTTTAACAAGAGCCCAGGCTCACGTACCCGAATGACCTGGACTCTGGCCACTTAGAGAACTACTACTACGTCAATGCTGCCCTGGCAGTGGGAGGTATTCTCTTGTATTTCGCCGTCACACGCCGTTGCTGCCACGGCAAAGGGGTGAGGGACGTGATTAAGAAGGAGGAAGTGGTCCTAGAGTGCGGTGCGGATGCGAGTGATTCTGATGACAGCCCCATGTAATGCTAATGATTGCTAATGCCGTGGATATTAATTTTTGAGTGTCTCGAAGAAAGCCACGAGTGGCAGCGGGCGTAGCAGCACGCACATGGTTTTGAGCTCAGGATGCGTCGGATGTGTGACTGCTGCACTCCCTGGCATAGTTCGCTCCTAGCCAGCGGTGCTTGCACGGAGCAGTCACCAGTTGTGTAAACTGTATATACTGACCGTCCTGATGCCGAACTCCAGCCCTGTGCTTCATTTTCTGCCGGCGTGCTGAAGATTGGTTTGCCACTGTGGCGACTGTCATCGATGTGAAAAGGGTAGTTCCATGTCCTGCGAAGAACTTTGCTCTCTCTCTCTCTCTCTCTCTCTCGCTCTCTCTAAGAACTTTGCTTAGGTCATTGCCGCCAATGAAGGGACTGCCCTGGCCATGGCGGCTGGCCACTACCTGGCCACTGGAAGCATCGTGCGTCGCCCGGGCATTCCCTTCGCTTTTATCGTTTTCTCCATCGGACTACGGCGTCCCCGTGACCTCATAAGGCATGTGTCTATCTCCAGAACTCGGGATTAGGGAACACCATCAATCCACTACTCTCGCTGTGCAGCAAGAAGGCGCAAGAATGTGTGTTCGGTGGCTTGTGCTGGTCCACCTTCCCGAACCCTAAACCGTCAACGGCAAACTGGGTGCAGGTTTATGCCATTCCTGCACTGCTTCTCATCGGCTGGCGGGGGGAACCAGGCCAAGACAGCTGAACACGAGTGCAGCTTCAGTGCAGAGTTCGTCACTGCAAGGCAAGAAAGACGAGCCGCAGCATCTTCTGCAGGGCGTCTTCCCCTTGCGACCCTTCATTTTCGTGTCTGTCCTCAGCTGTGTGGCAAGTCGAGGCGCTTACTCCCACCATGCTGGAGAACATGGGGGTTCCCTTTGAAATCTTGCCAGACTACGCCGAAGGACCGACGTGCTCAATGCCTCAGAAAGCCGCCCCCAAAACTCCTGGCTCGAATCGCCAAGCCCTCATGAAACGCAATGAAAGCAGGTGCCTTCGAAGTCATCACAAAAGCTTATGCGGGAGCCTCGGTTTTTCAGCGAACTCTTCTGCACGTCCAGCTCCGGAAAGCCAAGGGCCATATGGAAAAGGAGCCCGAACCTGAGAAGGGTTTAGGGTTTAGGATTTGCAGGCTGATGGTGCGCCTAAAGTAAGGAATACTATTTTGGGGGTTCCTTATTACAACTATGCCATAAAGGAGCACAAAGCCCTATTCCATTATTCAGGCCCCTACATCACAAACCTTCTTGGGTATTACGGAGCTTGACCTCAGAAGCGCCTTGAAAAAGCATGCTCTGTGGACAAGGAAGGAGCCTTTCGCGCTTCTGGTGAAGAAGGAGACCTTCGAGAAATACAGGTGGGAACGAGCCAATGTCTAGGGTTTAGGATTGAGGGTACAGCCATAAGCCCCAACCCTGCACCTTAAGACATATAATGTAGGGGCCTAAGTACTTACCTCTACTATTTTCGGGGGTTCCTTATTATGATTTTAGTGTAATGGGCCCAAAAACCCTATTCTAATTATTAAGGCGCCTAGATTAAACGCTACCAAACCCCAAAAACGCAAGCTGCGAGACCCTAAACCCTGAACCCTAAACCCTAAACCCTAAACTCTAAACCCTAAACCCTAAACCCCAAAAAAGGCTTTCGACGCCAAGTTCAGTCTTCGGTGGTGACGATATGCTGCACAGGGAGGAGCCATCCTCAGGACTCAGCCCTGCTTGGAGGATCAGGGGACTTAGTAAGGTTTAGGTTTTAGGGTTTAGGGTTTAGGGTTTAGGGTTTAGGGTTTAGGGTTTAGGGTTTAGGGTTTAGGGTTTAGGGTATAGGTATCTTCACCGGGGTTCTAAGTAAGTATAATAAGTACAGATACCTTAATTCTAAGATATCATAAGCCTAGTTACTAGGTCCCATGATCCTCCAAATGCTGAAGCGATACAGTGCCTGTGTGATCTCGCAGCTCAGGAAATCTTGGAGGAGACCCGCGTGGCTTTCTTCGTGTCGTGTCCTATGGGTCCCAGAGAGCGCAACACCCCTCAATTCAGGAACCGACCTTTAAATCAGAACATGAAGCCCCCTCTAATTTAAGGTAGACCATGGTAGACCCCTTTCTTAAGGAGTATAGCGGCTTCAGAAAGGCACTGCAAAACCACATGAAGCACCCTAGATTCCTCGTTACCCTAGACCCTAAACCCCAAAACTAGGTTCTACTACACCACTCCTCCTTGCTGCATGGGACAGGAGATCATTCAGATCTTCCCTGCCTCTCCATTGGCCAGCGTCCCAGTCTCCTCAAAGCCTCCAGGGCTTAGTGTTTAGGGTTTTTAGAGCACTACCTGTAGCTTATACAAGCCCCCAAACCCTAAACCCTAAACCCTAAACCACAGAAAGCTTTATAGATTTTCTAAGGACCCCAAAAGGGACCCCAAGATCGGGGCAGCTGCAGGTCACCACAACCGGCTTCACCTCCAGGGAGATGTTCGAACTTCGAGTGCAGAAAGGCCGAACAAGCCCGAACCCCTAATGTAGGGTTTAGGGTTTAGGGCTTAGGGAGGGGCCTTAATAATTAGAATAGGGTGGGGCCCAATATACTATGACTATACGACTATACTAAGGAACCCCCAACATAGTATTGGTAATTATTTAGGCCCCTACCTTAAGTCCTAAACCCTAAAGCCTAGACCCTGACTAAGCGGGTGCAATGTTGACGTGCTCCTCGCAGCCTCGAGGCCAGTCGCATGGCCACGACTTCCTCACAGCGGATGCCCCAGCACCTTCAGACCAGCTAGGTAAACCCAAAACCCTGAACCCTCAACCCTAAACCCTAAACCCTAAAGCTAAACCCTAAAGCCCGAAAGTCAATATTCCCAATAACCTCAAAATCTCTCCACACCCTCTTACTTCGAGTTACCATAACAACCATGCTAAGTTAAAGCTAACTTCCTTAACCTTAAACCCTGAACCCCTACACTCTAAACCCTAAACC